TTGGCTTCCAGATTTTTTAATATTATGTGTGTGAGTGTGGAGTTTTCTGTTTTTGTTTTTTTTTTTTCCTGCTTGGAGTTCATTGAGATCCTTGGATGTGTAGATTAATATTTTTCATGAAGTTTGAAAAGTTGTGAGCCATAATTTTTTTGAAAAAAATTTTTTCCACTCTTTCTGTCTTCTATATTGGTATTCCCAACACATGTATCATGATGATGCACTTAAAGGTGTTCCACATTTGTTTGAGGTTCCATTCATTTTCCTTTCTCTTCTTTAGATTGCATAGTCTGTATTGATCTATCTTTATGTTCACTGATTCTTTCTTCTGCCTCCTCAAGTCTGCTGGTGAGCATCTGTAATCAAATTTCTAATTTTAATTATATTTTTCAAGTCCAGATTTTTCATTTGTCTTTTTAAAAATAATTTCTCTTTCTTGATATTTTATATTTGATAAGAAATTGTCATATTTTTCTTTATATCTTTAAACATTTCTTTAGATGTTTGAACCTATTTTTAATAGTTGCTTTGATGTCTTTTTGGCTACATCTGACATTTGGGCCCTGTCAAAGGTATTTTTTAATTACCTGATTTTTTTCCTGTGTATGGGTCACACTTCCCTATTGCATCTCATAACTTTTCCTGAAAATTAGACATTTTAGATAACTTATTGTAGCAACACTGAATACTGATTCCTTTTCTCTTTCCAGGGCTTGCTGTTATTTTGTTGTTGTTGTTTGGAGACTTGCCTGTACTCTGGACTCTTTTAGTGAAGTCTATTTCCTCCTCCATGAGCATCCTATAATATTGCTCTTCAGAAATTGAAGCCTGGGATGTAGGCATTTAACCTGGGATGACAGTAGTTTTAGCAGGGCTCCGACTTTTTCTCTGAGCTCTTGTAAGCTATCTGTCCCTATTATCACACCCAGCTGTTAGCTTCCACTAATTGCTGACTGATTGCTCTACTGCTTTCAACAATGCTGTGGGACATAAATTGCTTCACTGAATTAAATTTGGGCCCCTTTTTAGTGGTAGTCTTTGAAGGCTTGTTCTGACCCCAGGAGAGTCTTTATTAGCTCTCCTTTTCCCTGGTTCTCTCTGGTAAACTCCTAGCTGGTTTGTGGTTTAGCTTATTGTTCTCTTGGAGCTAAAAACTATCTCTTAATTGTTTATAGGCCAAATCTCTTTTTTTTTTTTTTTTTTTTTTTTTGTTTTTGAGACAGAGTCTCACTTTGTTGCCTAGGCTAGAGTGAGTGCCGTGGCGTCAGCCTAGCTCACAGCAACCTCAGACTCCTGGGCTCAAGCGATCCTTCTGTCTCAGCCTCCCAAGTAGCTGGGACTACAGGCATGCGCCACCATGCCCGGCTAATTTTTTCTATATATATTAGTTGGCCAATTAGTTTCTTTCTATTTATAATAGAGACGGGGTCTCGCTCTTGCTCAGGCTGGTTTTGAACTCCCGACCTCGAGCAATCCGCCCGCCTCGGCCTCCCAGAGAGCTAGGATTACAGGCGTGAGCCACTGCGCCCGGCCGAAATCTCTATTCTTTTGGAGAGTTTCATTAGGCTTGAACTTTTCCATTCTCTGTTCCAAATAGTCAGGTTTATTATTTTTTTTAAGCTCTATTTTTTATTAGCCTTCCTCTCCTCCTGAGGAAAACCTCAGTGTCACTGCTTTGAAGTTATCTATGTGTGGGGTTAGCGGCCTGTTCCTTTTGGAGTGACATCACTGCTTTATATGCAGGACAGTGGATGGGTATGGTAGTCTCTGGTATTTTTAGCTTGCCTCTTCTGGTACAGAACACTCTGCCTTATGAGTGAGGTGGGGTTAAGATTATTGGGTCCAGTGTTCTTCTCCGGCTGGGTTTATAATATAGCTACCACTCTATGAGTGGGGGCTGGGTTTAGGAAGAGCACCCATACCTCTCATACTCTTTCCAAGAACAAAGCTTCTGTAACCCAGAGCTGGGGGGAATGAGCAGTGCTGGCAGCCTACCAGTACTAGTGAGATATCACTGGCCTGGACTGGGATCTGAGAGATGAAGGAGACTTGTATTCTTGGCTTTACCCACTAGAGGTAGAACTTCTGTCATAGCAAATTAGTTGTGTATAGCAGGGGAGAAGGCAGGGGAAAGAGGGGAGTATGTAATGGATCTGATGCCATGGATTATTGAAGTTCTTACCAAAATTTAGTAGGTATTCTTGAGTAAATAATTTTTTTTAATTTTAGTGTATTATGGGGGTACAAGGGTTAAGGTTATGTATATTGCCCATGCTCCCCTTCCCCCCTTGAGTCAGAGCCTCAAGCATGACCATCCCCCAACGTTGCACATCTCACTCATTGTGTTTGTGTATACCCATCTCCTCCTCCCCCCTCCCACCTGCCTGACACCCAATAAATGTTGTTCCTATATGTCCACTGAGGTGTTGATCTGTTAATACCAATTTGCTGGTGAGTACATGTGGTGTTGTTTTTTCATTCTTGAGATACTTCACTTAGTAGAATGGGTTCCAGCTCTATCCAAGAAAATACAAGAGGTGCTATATCACCATTGTTTCTTAAAGCTGAATAGTACTCTATGGTATACATATACCACATTTTATTAATCCACTCATGAATTGGTGGGCACTGGGTTGTTTCCCCAACTTTGTAATTGTGAATTGTGCTGCTATAAACCTTCGAGTGCAGGTGTGTTTTTCATAAAGTGACTTTTGATCTTTTGGGTAGATTCCCAGTAGTGGAATTGCTGGATCAAATGGTAGATCAACTTGTAATGCTTTAAGGTATCTTCATATTGCTTTCCATAGAGGTTGAACTAGTTTGCTGTCCCAGCAGCAGTGTAGGAGTGTTCCTATCTCTCCGCATCTACGCCAACATTTATTGTTTGGGGACATTTTGATAAAGGCCATACTCACTGGAGTTAAGTGATATCTCATTGAGGTTTTGATTTGTATTTCCCTGATGATTAGAGATGTTGAGAATTTTTTCATATGTTTGTTGGCCATTACTCTGTCTTCTTTTGAGAAGTTTCTGTTCATGTCCTTTGCCCCTTTTTTGATAGGGTTGTTTGATTTTTTCTTGCTGATTTTCCTGAGTTCTAAATAGATTCTAGTTATCAGCCCTTTATCAGATGTGTAGCTTGAAAAAATTTTCTCCCATTCTGTGGGTTGTCTGTTTGCTCTCTTGACAATTTCTTTGGCTGTGCAGAAGCCTTTTAATTTGATCATGTCCCATTTATTTATTTTTATTGCTGCTGTGATTGCCTTTGGGGTCTTCTTCATAAATTCTTTGTCTAGGCCAATGTCTAGAAGAGGATTTCCAACGCTTTCCTCTAGAATTCTAATAGTTTCACACCTAATGTTCAAGTCTGTTACCCAGCGTGTGTTGATTTTTGTGACAGGTGAAAGGTGTGTGTCTCGTTTCAGTCTTCTATATGTGGCTATCCAGTTTTCCCAGCATTATTGATTGAATAAGGATTCTTTTCCCCAGTGTATGTTTTTGTCTGCTTTGTTGAAAATTAGTTGGCTATATGAGGATGGTTTTATATATGGGTTCTCTGTTCTGTTCTACTGGTCAATTTCCCTGTTCTTGTGGCAGTCCCAGGCTGTTTTAATTACTATAGCCACAAATATAGAAAAAATAATTTTATTCTTTGTATGGAACCAGAGAAGAACCTGTATAGCAAAATAAATCCTAGGCAATAAAAACAAAATAGGAGGTATCAATTTACCAGACTTCAAACTATACTACAAGGCTATAGTAATTAAAACAGCTTAGTATTCACACAAGAACAGGGACATTGACCAGTGGAACAGAACCGAGAACCCAGATATAATAATTCTTTATTTGCTATTGCTGTTAATAAAACTTTCTGACCTTTAATGATTTTTTTAAATAATTTCTACCTATTATAGTTCTTTCCCTGGCAGGAGTGTTTGTTGAACTCCTCATATTACCATTCTAGAAGTCAGTCTCATATTCTTCAGGCATTAATTGGTATTATAACCCATGTTTTTTGAGATTCTACATATACCATATTAACTGTACTATACATACTATGTTTATATTCTTCATATATATTCCCTGAATTATTTATCCATTCATTATTTATCTATTCACTGCATATTCATTCATTCATTCAGATTAATTATAATTGTGGGCATATATTTATAGTACTTTTTCTCAGAGTTATTTATATTCTCAGAGTTAGTTATTTATATTTATAATATTTATATTCATTTTAATGTTTCTCAAAAACATAATTGTAATTTCTGATTATACACAAAATATGAGTGTATGTCAAAAACAATCGAGCCAAAGCATCTGCATACAGATGAGCACAATCTATGTGATTCCACGTATGTCAAGTACAAAAACAGCAAAATGAATTTATGATGTTAGAATCAGAATAGTGGTAATTTTTTTTAACATGGGTGCTGCTTACTTTGGTTTTGTTCATCTTGTGAAAATTCATTGAGTTTTAGACTTCTGATATGTACATTTTTATGCATGTTATATTATACTTAACTAAAAAGTTTATTATGGGGTCCATATGAGCTATAAAGTTTTAACCAAATACAGTTTAGAGTAAGTTTACTATATTTAACTTTTTACTTATTTTAGTATTCAAAAGTGATGATGTTTTGGTCCTAGAGTTCTAATATAGATTGTTTCCTATCTTAATGAATAAAAAATTATAATATAAATTATTATGATTACTAATAATTTTTTGATATTGTTTCCTCAAAGCATTATATGATGCTATCTCAAATGTTTTTTAAAAATATTGAAGTTTGGAGGTAATTTATAAGTTGTTAAAAAAATAAACATTTCCCCCACAATGCCAGGGAAAATTCTATATGCAAACTAGACCCTTTATAGAATATATATAAAATCAGAGAGGTCTTTTTATACCTTTGTAATACATTTTTAAATTTTATTCTGCAGGACTATTTTGAGGTCTTTTTATCCTTTGTAATACATTTTTAAATTTTATTCTGTAGGACTATTTTGAAAGAAAGTGGGTTTGCCAGATACCTTCATTCAGCTGTTCTTATCAATGGAGCTATGCTTATTTTTGGAGGAAATACCCATAATGACACTTCCTTGAGTAACGGTGCAAAATGTTTTTCTGCCGATTTCCTGGCATATGACATAGGTATGTATCTGTTAGGATTCTAATAGGAGGAAATATCAGAAATTTTTGATATAGAGATTCTCAAATACATTACTTGAAAGCATGTGTATATGTCATTTTAGAGACAATTTCAGTGATAGGTTATGAATGGGATTCTCTCTAATTTCAGCATAGTGGTAGTATAGAGCCAGGAGAACAGAAGTACTGAAGTAAGTTAGTGGTGGAGACAGAGCAATAGAGAAAGTTAGGTTTGAATGTCCTCTTTGAAGCCTTTTGTAAAGTCTATGTGAGCACTATATCAGTCTATTGTGTTTGTTATCTTACTAGTTTTGATGATAGATCGATATGGAATACTGTCAAATTATGTAAATTATAAAGAGTAGGAATGTAAACATTTTATATTTATTAGGGATAAACAAAAGTACATTTATATTAAAAATTCCAGATAAACTTAGTATAGCAGTTAGATAGAACTAGAGAAAGGAGTATAAAGAAAGTAGAGCTAAAGAAATAAGATTTTGAGATAAAATGGAAACCCAGAATGTACCTGGGAATGGAAACAACTAAAGAAGCATCTTTTTGCAGAGAATCAAAAATATAATTCACTTTATTTTAATTATGCTTTAATAGTCCTGTCAGTTTCTTAATATTTAAGTGAATGTATTTATTGAAATATGAAATTTAGCTATTCAGTAGACTATTGTAATGAAAATATTTTCTCTATGTGTCATATTTTAGATAAAAGCTAGATGATATTTAAAATATACTTAGCATTACTTAAACCACTTTTTATTGAAGACATAACTAAAAATTAATATACCAAATTTTGAAAATATTAAGATATACTTTGATAAATAAAAATAAAAGATAAAAAATAACATATTTAACAGGTGTAAGAAGTGTACTTTTGCTCTTAAACCTCATAAAGCCACATAGTGTGCTTTGATAAATTATTTCAAGTGGAAGCATGTAAATAAAATCATGACTATTAATAAATACTTTGATTTTTATACTATGATAAGTTTGTTTGGAAGGAAATTCCTGGTAATAAAGTTAATCATGCTTTTTAGCTCTCTAAGCTATGAGTGTCATTCTGTGATTAACCATTAGATACTAAATAATTAAATCTTTATCTTTTTGAAAAAATATTTAAAGTTATGACTTATGATGAACAGGGGATTTTCTCAGCTTTTAGAGGGCTTATAAATTATTGTCTGAGGTCAGAAAAATGGGTTGAATTGAAGTACTGAATCTAGGCTGGCAGGGATCTTATCTGTCAGACTAGGCCTGTAAATACATTGTTTTGACTATGGTGATTATTTTTCTCGAAGTAGATGAACGTTTTATTTGTTTGTTTTTTTTCTGGGAAAAAATTCTAGGAAAAAATATAGAATTTTGTTGTTCTTATTAAAAATCCATGAAGTGGGATTTTGAACTTTTGCGAAAGATTCTTCAAGGAGCTTCTTTCTTTCCACACGATGTCTGTACTTTGAAGAATTGCAGATTGAGCTATTTTGTAGCTGACATATTGGGAATTTATTTTCATTTCTTCCATGTTGTCAAAGCTTATGATATTTCAAGTTTTAAGTGTCAAAAATGTTTACCGAGATAAAAAACCATTAGAGGTTTTTGTTTCAGAAAGAGAGAGAGGCAGAGAGAGTGAGAGAGGAAAAGGGAGAGAGAGAGAGAAAGAGAGATTAGATTATAATTTTAATCACTACTACTTATTAATTTTCTTCTAAGTGCTGGGTAATATGTTATGTACTATATATTTATATATAAAATCTGTAACATCTCTAATTACCTTATAACAAGATGTTTCATTTTCAGAAGATTAAGCAGACAAGAGTAATAGGAAGTTGTCCAAAATCATGCAGGGAGTAAGTGGTAGTTATAGATTTTTTTAACTCCTAAAACTTGTGGTAGTCTACTTGACTACATCATGCTGGTTGGTTTGGTCCATTGTACGTTCTTAATTTTGGCAGCAAATTACCAGACACCTTATATTTAGTAATTTTTTTCTTAATGCTGTGGAAAGATAAAAGCAAAATCAGTTTCATTTTTTTAAAGCAAATTGTTCAGATTGGAGGAAGAATAACATATTTTAAATAGTTTTATATTTGAATATAGGATTTTTTTTTTTTTTTGCCCTATGCTAACAATGACAACAAAAATGTAAAGGCAAGCATACAATTCAACATAGATTAAAAGCATTTTGTTTTACCTCATTTGATTGTTTGTAGGTAGTTCTCAATAAAGTTCCCCAAATAATCTGTATTTATCCTCTTATGTTTGAAGCATCAAATGTTAGATTGTTTTCCTGGGAAAAAGTATTTTTCACACTTCAGAAAATGTTTTTCAAATTAATCATTTTCTGTAGGGAGTGTGCTTTTTGTGGAAATAAAAGATAAACATTGTATAGTGAACCAACTAGAAAATAGTTCTTTTTTGAAAAAGAGTGTCATGGTGCTAATTTTTCTCTTTACTATGATAGGACTTTTATTGGCATATTTAACTGTAGTGCACCTGATGATTTAGCTGATTGCTTTGTGTTATATGATGTTTAATTAAACAAATAGGAATATTTGTGTCATTCTAATTTTTCCTTGTAAAATTTGCCATTTTAACCTTCCTGCCATAGTAAATTTCATATAATGAATATTGTTAATCTTTAAGAACATAACCTTGGCTTCACAGTTCTCATTCTATTTTTCATGATAAATATAGAAGGCAAATGCTAGTGATTCTCAAACTTGGCTGTACCTTGGCATCTCCTTTGAAGGTTGTTGAGGATAAAAACCAGACCTATAAAATCATATTCTTTGAGATTAGGCACTGGGCATCTATATTTTAAAAAAATAACTGAAATACAGTTGGTAATAGAGCCAGAGCTGGTGAATAAGATCGGCTCGATTATAACATATAGCACTACACATTTCTTGATGTTCTAGTTTGTAAATTTAGTTTTAGAATTTAGAATTTCAGATTTTAGAATCTGAAAAGTTTTTTTTTTTTATATTGCTAGTGGTATTATTATTGCTTTCAGAAAGCTGCCATGAAGGTTAAAAAGATCTTTCTGGTAAAGATAGCCTGTTATTTAGAATTCAGATAGAATTCTGAAACAAGATGAAAAACAACTTTTTAATTGTATTTTTTCTTTATCAGAAAGATAATAGAAGATAATAGAAACATGAAAATGTAATTTCTTGAGTTAGATTATTTAAGAATTGGGTAGGGAGTAGAATTTGTATAATAAGTATATCTTGCATAAAGCAGAATAGCTCAAATGTCAGATCAGATCGAACTTTTGAGTTTTTAAAATAAATTCCCTGAACATGGTAGTTTTACTTATGACATTAATTTCTTTGTAGGTGATTATTAAAAAGCAAAATCAATAAAAACTGAAAAGTAATTTCATATTTGAATAAGTAATACAATTTTAATTAGTAATGTATAATAATGTGTATATGCTTAACTATTTTATAATACAGTGAAGTTGTAGTTCAGTGTACCCTTAAAAAATCACTTAACTAATTTATGAATCATAACATATATGATTTTTACAGCCTTGTGTAGTAATATACATGTATACATATATAATAGATAATAGTTTTATAAGACATGTAATTTCATAGCAAAATTATTTTCATATTAAAACATTTAATTATTTACATTTTTGGAATAATACTTCAGCAAATTTTTGAAAATTTCAACTTTCTTACTTTCAATTTTATAATTATTTTCATTTTATGGAGGTTATTTATTAATTCCTTTTTCTGTTAATATTTCTCTATGCCCTTTATTATATTATTAGGGTTATTCCTTGATGATAACAGCACCACTTGCCTGGCCATCTGAAAGAACCAGTTGGTTTCTTGGTAGGTCAGGAAAACACTCAACATCATGCCTTTTTTTTCAATGAAGTTAGTCAACCATTTATTGTTTTAAACTTTAATATATCCTTGCTCAAGGTGTTCTTTTTCTTGCTCTGTGATTATATACAAGTAGTAGTAGTTTCTTTTTAAAAAAGAGGCAAATGAGTAAAATAAAAGGTGACCTTTCATTTTGAGCAAAGGGAGAACTAACATTTGTCTAATGTTTCCTTCAGTGTTTGGCACTTCACACATAGTTTATAATATAATTCTTTTTACATCTGTGTAGTATGCATTATTATATTTACTTTATGGAGGAAGACATTGTGATTTATCATGGTTAAACCCATAGTCAAACAGGCTTTAAGATGGTGTATTCAAAATTTGAAGTTGTTTCTTTTTTTTTTTTTTATTTCGGTACCCACATTATTGTTTGACATTTGATAAAGGCCATCTCCACTGGATAAGTGATATCTTCATGTGTTTTGATTGTATTTCCTGATGTTAGAGATGTTGAGAATTTTTCATATGTTGTTGGCCATTACTCTGTCTTCTTTTTGAGATTTCTGTTCATGTCTTTGCCCTTTTCTTGATAGGGTTGTTTGATTTTTTCTTGCATTTTCCTGAGTCTAAATAGATTCTAGTTACAACCCCTTTTCAATGTGTACCTTGAAAAAATTTTCCCATTCTTGGTTGTCTGTTTGCTCTCTACATTTCTTTGGCTGTGCGAAGCCTTTTAATTTGGATCATGTCCCATTTATATTTTTATTCTGCTGTGATTGCCTTTGGGTCTATCTTCATAAATTCTTTTGTCTAGCCAAGTGTCTAGTAGAGGGATTTCCAACGCTTTCTCTAGAATTCTAATAGTTTCAACACTAATGTCAAGTCTGTTACCAGCGTGTGTGATTTTGTGACAGGTGAAGGTGTTGTCTCGTTTCAGTCTTCTATATGTGGCTATCCAGTTTTCCCAGCATTATTGATTGAATAAGGATTCTTTTCCCCAGTGTATGTTTGTCTGCTTTGTTAAAATTAGTTGGCTATATGAGATGGTTCTATATATGGGTTTCTCTGTTCTGTTCTACTGGTCAATTTCCTGTTTCTGTGGCAGTCCCAGGCTGTTTTAATTACTATAGCCACAAATAGAAAAAA